CATATACGGTTTTGGGTGAAGATGGTGTCCGCGGGCTAAGAACCGCGCTGGCCGTCAAGGGTGAAAAAGCCGGTGGCCGTGACCTCGAGCTGATCATTCAGTCTACCGATGCCTCGCCGGACAGCGCCGTGCGCGGCGCGCGTAAACTGGTTGAACAGGACAAGGTGGACATCGTCATCGGTCCGCTCTCGGGCTCTGAAGGTATCGCGATCCGCGATTATTCCAAGACCCAGCCCCAGGTCACATTCCTGAATGGCATTTCCGGTGCGCAGGAAACAACCTATGTGACGCCGTCCGATAACTTCTTCAGGTTCAACACGGATGGTGCCCAATGGTCTGCTGGACTTGGCGATTACGTCTTCAATGACAAGGGTTGGAAATCCGTTGCCACCATCGGCGAGGATTATTCCTTCATCTATACGCAGGTCTTCGGATTTGCGCTGGAATATTGCCAGGCGGGTGGTGAAATCACCGACCGGTTCTGGGTTCCGCTCGGAACAAAGGACTTCGGCTCGATCATCGCTTCACTTCCGGATGATGTTGACGCGATCTATCTTGGCCTCGGTGGCGGTGATGCCGTCAACTTCCTGAACCAGTATCAGCAGGCAGGTGGCGATGCCAACCTGATTGGCGGATCCATTATGGTTGATGGCACCGTCTTGAACTCCAAAGGCGACGCGAAAAAGGCTCTGATTGGAACACCGTCTTCCGGACCACAGGCTGACACCTGGGACGACGAAGGCTGGCAGGCATATGTAAAAGCCTACCAGGATGCATTCCCGCCCGATCAACGCTTCCCGAGCCCGTCACTTCTGGCAACCGGTTATTACAACGCCACGACCGCTGCAATGACCTGCCTTGATGAAGTTGGCGGTGATCTTTCCGACGGACATGCGGGTTTCCGTGCTTGCCTGAGCAATCTTGAGCTGGATGCTCCGAATGGCAAGATCACTCTCGATGGCAACCGTCAGGCAATTGGTGCCAACTTCGTTTCAGAAGTTGTCGAACTGGACGACGGTTCGCTTGTGACCAAGCTGGTGAAGATCAAGGACAATGTACCGCAGACACTCGGCATTGATCCCGATGTTTTTGCAAAGATCGGCCTCCCAAGCCGCGATGTGCCTGAGTGTAAGACCTCTTACTGATGGCCACTGCACCGGGCAGAGCACTCTGCCCGGTGCCGACATGTTTTCACGCTCGATTACCGTGTTTTCTCGAGATCAGGCCATGACGCTCATCACATACGTCACGCGAGTTCATTTCGCCGACGGCGTTTTGGAAGAAGCGCTTTGGTCCGAGATCGAAGTCAATCGCAAGAAACGTCCCCTGATCATCACCGATGATCATCATCTGAACAGTGAACTTTTTGAGCGATTGCTGGCTGGATTGCCCGTACGAACGTCCGTCGAGATTTTCAGCGATATCCCCGACATCCCGAACGAAACCGCCGCCAAGGACATTGCGACCGCGTTTCGGCGTTCAGATCGGGACCTTCTTATCGCCTTCGGGCGAAACACGGCGATCGACCTTGCCAAGATTTCAAGAATCACGATTGCCCATTCCGAACCCCTGGAAACCTTTTCCTATGCCAGTGGCGGATCGAGACGCATAGGGACGACCTTGCCCGATCTTTATGCGATCCCGAGCATTCAGGGTTTTGGAGCAGCCGTGAGTGCCCATGCGCCTGTCATTCTGACGAGTGGCGAGCGCACCCGGCTCATGTGCAAGAAACTGGTGCCGACGGTGACAATCTGTGATCCGACGCTGACACTCGGCGCGGGCCGGATTGAAAGTGCCAGTGCCGGGGCGGATGCCATGGGCCGGTGTATTGAGGCCTATCTCTCGCCGGGGTTCAATCCACCGGCAGACGGGATAGCACTGGATGGGCTCGGACGCGTCATCGGCAACTTGCACAAGGTGCTCACCGAAGACACTGTACAGGGCCGGCGGGAGCTTATGGCTGCCAGTTTGAACGGTGCATTGGCCTTGCAAAAAGGTCTTGGCGCGATTCACGCGATAGGCTGCGCACTTGAAACAGTCGCCGGCAGGCGGCTTGATCCCGGCGCTCTCAGCAGATTGCTTCTGCCGGCGATCCTGCAATTCAATGCCGATGCCGCCCGGGACAAATACACAACGCTGAATCAGGTTCTCAAATCCGGAGAGAACAGAACGCCCGCCCGCAGCGTGGCTGATTTTCTTTATACCTTGCCGCTTCCTGAAAGCCTCGCCGAGATGGGCATAGACGAGGAAGAGATCCGGATCGCCGCCGATCTCGCTGCATCTGATCTTGCCGCGGTTCAAAGCCCGAGAGCCTTGAGCAGCCCGAGCCTGTTTGCGATCATGAAATCGGCTCTCTCGCGCGAATCCCGGGTGAATTGATGAAGCCACTTTTGATCGATGGCGCGTGGATCACGACTTCACATGCCGAGGAAAACCGAAATCCTTCCAACACTGACGAGGTCATCGGTCTTTATGCCCATGCCGGCAGAGCGGAAACGCAGGCCGCAATAGAAGCTGCAAGACTGTCTTTCCCGGCCTGGGCGGCAAGCACACCGCAATTCAGGTTCGAAATCCTGAACAAGGTGGCAGACGAACTGACCTTGCGCAAATCCGAAATAGCGTCGCTTCTGTCCCGCGAGGAGGGAAAAACGCTTCGTGAAGGACTTCAGGAAACCGAGCGCGCGGCCAACATTTTCAGGTTCTTTGCAGGAGAGTGCCTTCGCCCTGCTGGAGATCTCATCCCCTCAGTCCGCCCAGACGTAAGCGTGGAAGTTACGCGTGAACCGCTCGGTGTCGTCGGGATCGTCACGCCCTGGAACTTCCCGCTGGCAATACCGAGCTGGAAGATTGCACCTGCTCTTTGTTACGGCAATACGGTCGTTTTCAAGCCCGCCGAACTCGTGCCGGGATGCGCCTGGGTCCTTGCGGAAATTCTTCACGGAACCGGTATTCCGAAGGGGGTCTTCAATCTGGTCACCGGCAAGGGCTCGGTTGTCGGGAATACGATGCTTTCAGCAAGAGACGTTGAGGCCGTTACTTTCACCGGTTCACAGGCGGTCGGGTCCCTTGTTGCTCAGGCCAGCATCAAGCACATGCGCAAGCTGCAGCTCGAAATGGGCGGCAAGAACCCGCTTGTCGTGCTCGACGACGCGGACCTGGATCTTGCGGTCGACTGTGCGGTTGACGGAGCGTTTTATTCCACGGGCCAAAGATGTACAGCGTCGTCACGCCTGATTGTAACCGAGGGGATCTACGGCAGGTTCATTGAGAAACTGACTGAAAAATGCAGGGCGTTGACGGTTGGCGATGCATTGGATCCCGCAACAGACATAGGTCCGGTCGCCAGTGCGTCACAACTGGCAACGGATATCGATTATATTGAGATTGCGCGTGCACAGGGTGGAAACCTGCGTTGCGGTGGCGACATCGTCAAGGGTCGCAACCATGGCTATTTCCTGCAGCCCGCCCTGTTCACCGACACCGACAACAACATGCGCATCAATCGCGAGGAAGTCTTCGGACCTGTTGCATCGGTCATTCGTGTTCGCGAGTATGAAGAGGCTCTGGCAACGTCAAACGATACCGACTTCGGACTTTGCTCGGGCATCATGACAACAAGTCTCAAGCACGCCGCACATTTTCGCAGGGAATCCCGTGCAGGCATGGTCATGGTGAACCTGCCAACGGCCGGGGTGGACTATCATGTACCCTTTGGTGGCCGAAAGGCATCAAGCTATGGTCCCCGGGAACAGGGGCGCTACGCAGCCGAGTTTTTCAGCACAGTAAAAACAAGTTATATTCGGCCCTGATCGCTGCATTGCAGCATTTTCAAAAGTCTTTTTCCGTAACTCTAAGTCTCTTTGTGAGCCATACTGTCTTGCCAATATCGATTTTTACAGAGGATACTTAAAAGAAAACGTTTACATCGATAAACGCGCAAATCATCGGGAGGAATGGTGATGAGCGAAGCGATATCCGTCCACCACGGTGAATTCGGACGCGCGGCTCTTTATAGGCTGGACAAACCGATCGTGACACACGCGCATCGGGAAGGTCATTTGATCTTCTATCTGAGCGGTGCGGAAGCCAGGGTCAGCGTATCCGACAAGTGGGTGCCTGCCGACCAGAATACCGGTGTGGCCGTCAGCCCGTGGGAACAGCACAGCTTTCATCCGAAAACTGAAGCCAATGCCGAGGCATGTCTGTGCCTCGTGCTCTATATCAAACCGATCTGGTTTCTTGAAAACAGCCAATCTGCGGAATTTGCCCTGAATTTCGGCAGCTCGCACATCGCGATGACACCCGACGTCATGAATTGGGTCAAACGCTTGACGTCGCTGCTTCTGGACGGCGGCAATGATCACCTTTTCGATGGGTATCTCTATCGCACAACCATGCAGTGCTTCGAACAATCCTGGCGCAATGCGGACCGCAATTCGGTGCTGGAAGACAGCAAGCGCCGCTTTACCGATTATCGTGTGCGTCGGTCTTTGCGCCTGATGCAGGAGAATTACACCGAAGAAGTCGAGGTGGAATGGCTGGCCCGTGAAGTCGGGCTGTCTCGGCCCCATTTTTTCAAGCTTTTCAAGAAACAGATGGGTATTACTCCCAATCTCTACTTGAATACGCTGCGCGCCGAACAGGCGATTTCGGACCTGATGACGACCGACAAATCGGTCACGGAAATCAGCTACGATTTGGGGTTCTCGTCACAGGCAAGCTTTACACGCTTCTTCTCTTCCAACGTTGGAATTCCGCCAAGCGACTACCGCCGTGTCGCCCACGTCGAGTAGCGCCCGCTTACCAGGTCGCGTCTGCATTCAATAATGCCGATGATGGGCCATCCGAGAAGACTATCGGGTACGCCGATTTCCGAACTTAAGCCGTAGCCTTTTCCCGAGAGCGAACGACTTTGTCGTCAACAGCGCTTTGGGAGGATGTCGCGCTATGCGGCAATTTGAAGACAACACCGGGGATGGTCGGATCTGCGAGGACCGCACATGAGGAACTTTGCGTCCCGACATCCTGGCTGGTCGATCGTCATTCTGCTGGTAGCTGCCGCGCTGATCTGGTCGATTTTTGCAATCTGGCCGAAAGGTCTGGTCGATGTGATCGGCCGCAAGAAAGTGTTTCTCAACGCCCTGTTCAACGGCATCACGCTCGGTGGCCTCTACTTTCTTGTCGCCAGTGGCTTCACGCTCATCTTCGGTCTCATGCGCAATGTCAATCTTGCGCACGGCTCCCTTTACCTGCTCGGTGGGTACATCGGTTATTTCGTTGCCTCGTCAACGGGTTATTGGCTCCTTGCCTTTCCCGTTGCGTTTGTCCTCGTAGCTGCCGTCGGCATTCTGATGCAGATATTCATCTTCCGCCGGATGGAGGGGCAGGACCTCAGGCAAACGCTTGTAACGATCGGAATCTCCATCGTGATGGCGGACTTGATGCTTTGGGGCTTCGGCGGAGATTTCTACAACATCACGCCGCCCAGCTGGTTGAGCGGCCCGATGGAAACACTCCTGGTCACCGGCGTGAAGCGATCGTCAGGTGACCTCATCTACCTGAAGTATCCGGTTGTTCGGGTCGTTATTTTTCTTGCCTCGGTGGTCATAGGAATAGCCATGTGGCTGATCTTGAACCGCACCCAGATTGGCATGATGATCCGGGCAGGGGTCGATGACAGGGACATGTTGTCGGCAACAGGCGCCCGCATCCAGCTCGTCTTTGTCGGAGTATTCGCATTCGGGGCAGGCCTCGCGGGTATCGCAGGTGTCGTGGGAGGGACTTTCCAGTCCGTGGCGCCTGGCGAAGACATAAGGTTTCTGCTGGCATCGCTTGTCGTTGTGATCGTCGGTGGCATGGGGTCGATCACGGGAGCCGCGCTGGGAGCGCTGCTGATCGGTCTCGCCGAACAGTTCGGATCGGTCTATTTCCCGACTTATGCGGTCGTTCTGACCTTCCTGATCATGGTGCTCGTTCTTGCGTTCCGGCCCCAGGGCCTCATGGGGAGGTCCTGACCCATGGCGATAACGGAATCCAATACGCTCCCACGAACAAACAACGGCCAGCGCAAGGTCTGGTTCGAACGCATACCTGCGAGCTATTGGGTGGTTGGCATTGCCCTGTTGATAATGCCCGCATTCGCAAGTGATTTTGCACTCTATCAGGTGTTTGGCTGGACGTTCATTCTCGGCATGATTTCGCTCAGCCTGATGTTCCTTGGCGGCTATGGCGGCATGGTAAGCCTTGTTCAGATGTCGATTGCAGGCCTGGCCGGATACATGGTCGCAATATTCGGTGACAGTGCGATCACCGACATCAGCATGGGCTGGCCATGGTACATCGCAATTCCGCTTGCGCTGATTGTGGCGATGCTCTTCGGTACGATTGTCGGATCCCTCGCCGTGCGGACCGAAGGCATCTACACAATCATGATCACGCTTGCCGTTGCAGCGGCATTCTTCTACTTCACCCGCCAGAACTATATCATATTCAACGGATTTTCCGGATTTAACGGTGTGCTTCCACCAGAGCTATTCGGGGTCGACTGGCGGCAAAGCAAGCCCTTTTATTACCTCACTTTGTTTTGGGCGGCAGTCGCCTATTTTTCAGTGCTCTATGTATCGCGGGCACCATTCGGGCTTGCACTGCAAGGTGTCAGGGATAACCCCCGCCGCATGGCTGCGCTGGGATACAGCGTCAATGCGCACAGAATTGCTGCCTACGCATTCGCCGCACTCATCGCGGGCACTGGTGGCATTTTGCTGACATGGCAATCCGCACAGATTTCACCGGGCACGGCCGGGATCGGGCCAGCGATCGACATTCTTGTGATTGCAGTCATTGGTGGCATGAGACGCCCGGCCGGTCCGTTCATCGGTGCCTTCATATATGTTTTGTTGAAGACCTTTGCCATCGACGTCCTGCTTTCTGTCGGGTTGAGCGGAGAGCGATTCCAGTTGCTGATTGGCCTGGGTTTTCTGGCGATCGTCTTCTTCTCGCCTGATGGACTGCTCGGTCTCTGGGATCGCTGGCAGGAGTTCCGCAAACGCGACCCGCTCCTCGATCGCGGGGAGGGTCCGCTTTGACACTGCTTGACCGTGCGACATCATCAGTTTCAGACCGCCTGAGTGCCACGGGCACGGCCAACGCGCTCGAGCTTCGCCAAGTCAGCAAGATGTTCGGCGCGCTGGTCGCGCTTGCCGACATCGACATGATCGTCAAACCGGGAGAGCGGCGTGCCGTTCTCGGGTCCAATGGCGCAGGCAAAACGACACTTTTCAACTGCATAACCGGTGACTTTGCACCGACGACCGGATCGATCCGGTTTTTTGGCGAGGAAGTTGCCACCTTTCCTGCCCAGGAGCGTATCAGGCGCGGTTTGCGCAGGACCTATCAGATCTCGTTGCTGTTTGCAGGATTGAGTGTCCTCGACAATGTCTATCTGGCTTGCTGTGGCGTTTCGCGCGGCCGGTTTTCATTCATTCGACCTGGACGCGATGATGCGTTGATGGCGAGTGCTGAAAGCCTTGTCCAGGTGGTGCATCTGGACGATGTGCGTGAAACGAAGGTCGAGGACCTTTCCTATGGGCAGCAACGCCAGCTCGAGATTGCCATGGCACTGTCCGGGGCTCCGCGTTTCATTCTGTTCGATGAACCTGCAGCCGGTCTCTCCCCGACCGAGCGTCGCGAACTGATTGACATTCTCACCGGCCTGCCGAGCCACATGGGTTTCATCATCATCGAACACGATATGGATGTTGCCCTGAGGGTCGCTGAATCCGTAACGATGATGCACAACGGCCGGATCTTCAAGGAAGGCAAACCTGCCGAAATTGAAGACGATGAAGAGGTCCAGGCGCTTTACCTTGGTGGCGAAGAGGGGCTTGGGCATGGTTGATCGCACCGCACCTGCGCTCGAAATCAGGGACCTGAATGTCTATTACGGTCATTCGCACGCGCTTCAGGGTGTCGACCTGACGCTGGACCATGGGGTTTTGTCCGTTGTTGGACGAAATGGCATGGGCAAGACGACCACCTGCAAGGCCATTATGGGCCTCGTGCCGGTTGCGTCCGGCACAATCAGCTTGTCCGGCCGCAGTCTTGCGGGCCTTGGACCGGCAGAAATCGCCCGGCTCGGCGTCGGCTATGTTCCGCAAGGCCGCCGTTTGTGGCAATCCCTGACCGTTGATGAGCACCTCAAACTGGTGGCACGCCGCGGAGGTGACTGGACGCCTGAACGTGTCTATTCGGTCTTTCCCAGACTGGCTGAGCGCCGATCGAACGGAGGGGCACAGCTCTCCGGTGGTGAACAGCAGATGCTGGCGATCGGTCGTGCGCTTCTTCTCAATCCCAGACTTCTCGTCATGGATGAGCCTACCGAAGGACTGGCGCCGGTCATCGTCAATCAGGTGGCCGAAATGCTGGTGCGTCTCGGGCAGGAAGGCGACATTGATGTGCTCGTGATCGAGCAGAACATCGGTGTTGCCTGCGCGGTCGCCGATCAGGTGGCAATCATGGTCAACGGCAAGATCAACCGGATCATGCCGTCGACACAACTTGCTGCTGACAGGGATCTCCAGCAGGCGCTTCTCGGTGTCGGACGTCACGCTCATGACGAGACGCCGGCGCCCTCAAGAACCCAGGAGGCTGAAACGGGCCTTGCCAGGCCCTCATCCGTGCGTCGGATCTATCTGTCCAACCCGAAGGTCCCGACACGCTGGTCAAAACCGGTTCCGGTCAGGGTGCTTGAAAGTTCTGCTCGCACGAGCACGGCATCTGATGCGCTGTCCGCGAATGTGATGCCTTTGTCCGCTCAGCGTTCCAGAGCGGGGGCAAAGGTCTATGTCGCTGGAACGCTAGATACGAAGGGTGCTGAACTCCGCTATATGCGTGACATCCTGAAAGCGGAGAACCTGACGGTGCAGCTGATCGATCTTTCGACGAGCGGCAAACCCTCCGGTGCCGAAGTTCCGCCTCACGCCATTGCAGCATTTCATCCGCGTGGAGCGAGCGGCGTTTTTACCGGTGATCGTGGCACTGCCGTCGCGGCCATGACCCTGGCATTTGAGCGATGGATAAAGGTGCAGCCAGACGTTGCCGGGATTATTTCCGCCGGAGGATCCGGTGGGACGGCCCTGGTTACTCCGGCCATGAGGATGTTGCCGGTCGGTGTGCCGAAAATCATGATCTCGACGGTCGCGAGTGGCAATGTCGAACAGTATGTCGGCCCCTCGGACATCATGATGCTGCATTCGGTGGCCGATGTTCAGGGCCTCAATTCGATAACCCGGGAAGTGCTTGGAAACGGTGCGGGTGCGCTTGCCGGAGCAGTGAAGGCGCGTTCGAAGCGCAAACCGATCCTGGATGCGAAGCCCGCAGTCGGACTCACGATGTTCGGGGTCACGACACCATGCGTACAAACGGTTACGGCGGCACTCGAGGACGATTTTGATTGTCTGGTCTTTCATGCCACCGGCGTGGGCGGCCGGTCGATGGAAAAACTCATGGACAGCGGCATGCTGACTGCTGTGATTGACCTCACGACGACCGAAATCTGCGACATGATCGCCGGTGGTGTGTTCGCCGCCAACGAGGACCGCTTCGGCGCTTCGATCCGTGCCGGTGTGCCTTACATCGGCGCCTGCGGAGCGCTCGACATGGTCAATTTCAATGCGCCCGACACCGTGCCGGAGAAATATCGCGGGCGGACGTTCTACGAGCACAATCCGCAGATCACGCTGATGCGGACCACTGTCGAGGAAAACGTCGAAATGGGACGCTGGATCGGCCAGCGTCTCAATGAAATGACCGCACCCGTCCGCTTCTTCCTGCCGGAAGGCGGCGTGTCACTTCTCGATGCCCCGGGAATGGCTTTCCATGATCCGGCCGCCGACGAAGCGCTTTTCAGATCCCTTGAAGACACCGTGCGCCGGACAAGCGAGCGCAGGCTGATCAGGGTGCCACACAATATCAACGACCCTGAATTCGCAGACCTGATCGTCTCGACGTTCCGGGGATTTCATTCAAGCCGGCGCAGCCGAGCAGCAGGAGATTGAGCATGTTTGATCGCAGGGAACTTGTTGCCAGGTACCGCGACATGATCGCCCGGGGCGAGCCGATCATTGGCGGCGGCGCCGGTACGGGTCTGTCCGCGAAGGGAGAGGAAGCCGGGGGAATCGACCTGATCGTCATTTACAATTCAGGACGATACAGGATGGCCGGACGCGGCAGTCTTGCCGGTCTCATGCCGTATGGCGACGCCAACTCGGTCGTGATGGATATGGCCGGTGAAGTGTTGCCTGTTGTTCGCAAGACGCCGGTTCTGGCAGGTGTCTGCGCATCTGATCCCTTCAGGCTTATGGACAGGTTCCTGGAAGAGGTGAAAGCAGCTGGGTTTTCAGGCGTCCAGAACTTTCCAACGGTCGGTCTGATCGATGGAAACTTCAGGGCAAATCTGGAAGAGACCGGCATGTCCTATCAGCTCGAAGTCGACATGATCGCGATGGCCCACGACAAGGACATGCTGACGACGCCGTATGTCTTTTCGCCAGCCGACGCCACGGCGATGGCGAAAGCGGGGGCCGACATCATTGTCTGCCATCTTGGCCTGACGACAGGCGGCAGCATCGGCGCCGAGACATCGTTGAAACTCGCCGACTGCCCGGCCATCGTTGATGAATGGTCGGAAGCGGCCCTTGCTGTCAACCCAGACGCCATTGTGTTGGTGCATGGCGGGCCGGTCGCGATGCCCGACGATGCCGAATTCGTTCTGAAAAACACGCGCAACTGTCACGGTTTTTACGGTGCTTCCTCGATGGAACGTCTGCCGACCGAAATCGCGCTCGTCGAACAAACTAGAAAATTCAAGGAAATCCGCGGCTCTTGAGCCGGGGAGGGAGGACTGAACATGGCTGGTCAGCTCATCGGGCAATTGGTGCTGTGGCTTATTCTCGCGGTCATTGTCGTCTTCATCCTCTATTGGGTGATGCATTGGCTATACCGGCGATCGACCAAGGAAGTCGCTTTCGTGCGAACGGGGTTCCTGGGCGAGAAGGTGGTGATCGACGGCGGTGCATTCGTCTGGCCCATCATTCACGACATAACTCCCGTGAACATGAACTCGCTGCAAATGGCGCTGACACGTGAGAAGGAAGATGCCCTGATCACCAAGGACCGGCTGCGTGTCGATGTGGACGCGGAGTTTTATGTCCGCGTCGGGCAGACCAAAACGGGTGTCAGCCTGGCCGCTTCCACGCTCGGGCGGCGTACTCTGGAACCGGAACGTATCCATTCGCTCCTGTCAGGGAAATTCATATCGGCACTTCGCACCGTTGCGTCCGAGATGACCATGGAGGAACTTCATGAAAGCCGGCACGTATATGTCGACCGTGTGCTTGAAGCCGCTCAGGTCGGACTCGACAAGAACGGGCTGGAACTCGAAAGCGTCGCCATCACGGATATAGATCAGACCGGGATCGAATATTTCAATCCTTCCAACCGGTTCGATGCCGAAGGCCTGACGACTGTCATCCGTGAAATCGAGGACAGAAGAAAGATGCGCAACGATATCGAACAGGATTCGATGATCCGCATTCGTTCGCGCAACCTGGAAGCGGAAAAACAGGTGCTCGACATTGAACGCGAAAGCGAAAATGCGCGCCTGGAGCAGGAACGCGAAATAGAATTCAAACGGGCGCAGCAGCACACCGATCTGGTCCGCGAAAGGTCCGAACGCGAAAAGGAAGCAGAGCACGCCTCGCTTTTGAGCCGGGAAGCCATCGAGACGGCCCGGATCGAGAACGAACGGCACATTTCAGAGGCCCGGATCGCATCGGAACGGGAGGTTCGGCAAAAGGAGATCGAACGCCAGCGTGTCATTGATGAAGCGGAAATAGTCACCCGTGAGGCGGTGGAAAAAGCCAGGATCGGTCAGGAAAAGACCCTGACGGAAGAACGCATTCGCACTCAGCAGATGACGGAGGCGGCCGACATTGCCGCGAAGGAAGCGATCGAGAAGGCACGCATCGCTCAGGAACGGTCTCTCAACGAGGCCCGGATCGCGAAAGATCGCGAAACCGAAGCGCTCGAGATCGAGCGTCGCAAAACGATCGAGGAAACCGATATTGCAGCGCGCGAATTGGTTGAAAAGGCAAAGATCGCGCAGGAAGAAGCGGTAACCGAAGCGCGAATTTCGTTTGAGCGCGTCACACGCGAAAAGGAAATCGCCAGAAATCTGGCAATCGAGCAGGCAGAAATTGCATCGCGGGAAGCTGCCGAGAAACTGCGAGTTGCCCAGGAGCAGACCGTCAACGCCTCTCGCATCGAGGCGGATCGTGAAACTCGCCGGCTTGAGATTGAACGACAGAAAGCGCTCGAAGAAGCCGAGATCGCCAGTCAGAAAGCCACCGAAGCTGCGCGCATTGCGCGGGAGAAATCCCTTTCGGCAGATCGGATCGCCTCGGAGCAAGCCACGCGTGCGCTCCAGATCGAACAGCAGCGCGAGACCGAGATAGCGCAGATTGCGGCCCGTGAGGAAACCAACAAGACACGGATTGCCCAGGAAGAGCGGATCCGCAATCTTGAGATTTCCTCCAACAAGGCAATCGACGAGGCGGAGATCACTGCCCGCGAAGCTGTTGAAAAGGCGCGAATTGCCCAGGACAAGCAGCTCGCGTTCGAACGGATCGCAGCTCAGGAAGAGACGGATGGGCGTGACGTTGCACGCCAGGCGGCCCTGGATGCAGCCAATATTGCGGCCAAGGAGGCAACCGAAGCCAAGCGCATCGCTCAGGAAAAAGTGATTGTCGCAGAGCGGATAGGTTTTGAGCGGGAATCGAGGGCACTCGAGATTGCCCGTAACCAGGTTGTTGAAGAGGCCGAGATTGCCGCCCGTGAGGCAATTGATGCCGCGCGTATCGCGCAGGAAGCGAAAACCGCGTTGCAGCGAATCGAAAGCGACGAGGCAACCAGGGAGCGCGATGTTGCCCGGTCCAGGGCTCTGGAGGCGGCGGAAATTGCCAAGGCGGAAGCCACGGAGGCGGCCCGCATTGCCAAGGAGAAAAAGGTCGCTGCCGAGCGAATTGCTTACGAACAGGATCTCCGGGAGCGTGAGATCGCCCGCAACAGAGCGGTGGATGTCGCCAACATTTCCGCGCAGGAACTGGTCGAAGCAGCCCGCATTGCGCAGGAAAACAAGGTGCGCGCAGCAGAGATCTCCAAAGAGACTGACGTCAGAAAACGTGAGATCGAGCGCGCGGAAGCAATTGAAACGGCAGAAGTCGCTTCGCGCCGGTCCGTCGAACAGCTTCGGATCGAGAAGGAGCAGGAGACGACTGCCGAAAAGATCGCGCGGGACGAGAAGATCCGTGCGCTGGAAATCGCCCGCAACAAGGCGATCGACGAGGCGCAGGTTGCCGCCGATCAGGCAATCGAGGCAGCAAAAGTTGCCAAGGAGAAATCCGTCGATGCGGAGAAGATCCTTGCGGAGCAGGAGCTGGACGCGAGGAAGCTGGAACGCAAGAAGGTACTCGAACAGCTCGAAATCTCGCGTGTTCAGGCACTGCGCGAAGCCGAAATTTCAAGTCAGGAAGAGATCGAGCGAGCTCAGATCGCATCCGAGCGTGGTCTGGACGATGCCCGCATTGGCCATCAGACCGAGCGGCGACGTCTGGAGATTGCACGCGAAAAGGCAGTCGAAACCGCACAGATGGACAAGGCCATCGAGCTTTACAAGAAATCGCTTGATGAAAGCGCTGCCGCTGTAGAAGCGGATGCAGCGAAGGCGCGGGCAACCGCGGCGGCCGAGAAGGTCAAGACGGCACAGGAAACCGAAGCTGCGACCCGACGCAAATCGGTTGACGTGGTTCTGGCCGAAAAGGAAGCCGAAGAAAAACGAATTGCCGCAGACGCCGAAAAGGTCCGCAAAGCGGTGGAAGCCGAGGCACAAAAGCTTATCAACGAAGCCGAGAATGTGCTGACCGATGCAGCGCGCCATTCGCTCTTCAAACGCAAGATGCTGGAACATGTCGAAGGAATTGTCTCGGCATCGGTCAAACCGCTTGAAAAAATCAACGATATCAAAATCATGCAGCTGGGTGGCAGCGGAACGTCAGGTCTCGGTTGGGCGGACGGGAACGGCACCGGCACCGGAGGTAACGGTGGCGGCGGCGGCAGCCCGACTGACGAGGTCATCAATTCGGCGCTTCGATACCGGGTGCAGGCACCAATGGTGGACAGCCTGCTGAGTGATATCGGGATCGACGGGTCAAATCTCGCCAAATCGGATGTCATGCGGACGGCCAACGATATGACCCGTGCCGCCAATGAAATGAAACGGTTGAAGGCAGACGAAAAGCCGAAAGGGCCAGGCGCGTCCAAGGAGGGCAAATAAATGGCGCGGGTTTACACCTCATCGGTGATTGATGCCCCTTCGGCCAGGGTCTGGGAACGTATCAGGGACTTCAACGGCTTGCCCAAATGGCATCCCCGGATACGCGAAAGCCGTATCGAGGAGGCCTTGCCTTCCGACAAGATTGGATGCATCAGAAACTTCAGTCTTCAGAACGGCGACAACATTCGCGAGCAACTGCTCGGGCTGTCTGACTACGATCTTTTCTACAGCTATTCGATGCTCGAAGGCCCAATGCCGCTGAGCGACTACATCGCGACAATGCGTCTGACGCCTGTCACGGAAGGTGACCGCACATTCATTGAATGGTCTGCGGAGTTTTCCTGTGAACAGGAAAAGGAAGACGAGTTGGTTACCGGTATCGGAACAAACGTTTTTCAGGGCGGCTTTGATGCCCTGAAGAGGCATTTCGGCGGGTAGGGGAAATCTTTTTCAAAAGAGGAGGAATGACGATGGCATGTCGGAAGTTTGCAATCGCGATGGGCATGGTTCTGTACGCGACGGGTGCGATGGCACAGGATTTGCCGCCGCTCGCTATTCAACCGAACGCTGAACGCGTGACATTCGAGCATATCGACGCGCTGAACGCCTGTGACTGGAACAGGCTCATGGCTCAATATCCCGAAGAAGTGCTTTTCATATTGCCGAACGGAGTGTGGATCGAAGGCCGGAAAAACATAGGTGACGTTTTTGCCGGCTTCTGCAAGCCAAGAGAAGAGGGTGGCTTCAAGGGCGCAACGTTCATTGCGGAAAAGGTCAAGACGGTTGGTGACACCGTAAATGTGTCCTGGCGGGTGGAGGCGGACTATCTCGCTGAGCCCTACAAGGGAGCGGATGCATACGTCACCCGCGACGGATTGATGTACGCGCAGGTGACCACATTCGATCCCAACGACATGAAGTTCAAATAGGCGGAGTTGGAAAGGTCGTGGTCAAGGTCGTCCGCAGCACAATAGTCAACGCACCGATTGAAGCCGTGTGGGAGGTTCTGCGCGACTTCAACGGACACGACCGCTGGCACCCGGCAGTTACAACAAGCCAGATCGAACGCGGCGGAAGCGCTGACAGGGTCGGCGCAGTCCGTCGCTTCAGACTGAAAGACGGGTCCGAGCTCAGGGAACAGCTCCTGACACTTTCAGATCTGGAGCAGACCTACTCGTATTGCCTTCTGGATACGCCAATACCGCTCTTCAATTATGTCGCGCATGTCCGCCTGTCCCCGGTGACCGATGACGACACGACGCTGTGGGAATGGCAAAGCCGCTTCGATGTCCCGGCAGGCCGCGACAGGGAACTCGCGGCGCTTGTCGGTGACGACATTTATGTGGCCGGGTTCAAGGCCGTTTCGGATTTCATGGGACTGGAGGCGTAACCAATGGTGACGATTACTACGGTCGATACGCTGCAGGAGGCCGCCGCAAGCAGTGGCCAGGGAACGTCACTCCTGGGTGGGGGAACCTTGCTCATGCGCGGTGTCAATTATGGCGACCAGGACGTGTCACGCATCGTTCGTCTCAGGCAACCTACACCTCTTGCAGGAATTTCATCGGAAGGCGAGCGCATCCGGCTGGGGGCCTTCGCAACCATGGCGACGATCATGAAATCCGGTGATACGGCGTTTCTGCATCCCGTCGCACGTGCCGTCGGAGGTCCGGCAATCCGAAACATGGCAACTGTCGGCGGCAACATTTTCGCTCCCCATCCATATGGAGATTTTGCAGTCGCCTTGTTGGTGCTGGATGCAAGGCTTCGCATGTCTGATGGCAGCGAGATGGATCTGGATCGCCTGCTCCCGGTTCGTGACACGGAAACCCGCCTTGTTGAATCCGTTTCTGCCTTGCGACCTGCCGGAGATGATTTCCGGTTTTTGAAAGTCACCCGGGTCAAGCCGAGAGGTGCGTCTGTTCTAAGCATTGCTGCCTGGTTGCCCAGGCGTGCAGGACGCGTTTCCGGTGCTCGTGTGGCTTTCGGCGCGATGGCACCCACACCGGTTAGGGTTCCGGCGGTGGAGGCAGCTCTGGAGGGCGTCAATCTCGATCAAAATGGCATTGAACGCGCGCTGCAGAGCGTCGCAAACGACCTGAACCCTCCCGACGACAGCCTGGCCTCCGGTTGGTATCGGAAGGAAGTTGCACCAGTGCATCTGGGACGCCTGCTTCTGGGGCAAGGAACACGATGATGGCCAAGACACCTGTTCAATTCTCACTCAATGGATCGTCTGCGGCAGTGTTCGTCGACGATGCCCAAAACCTGCTCGACGTTCTCAGGCGCGGTGTTGGAGATCTGACACCAAAATACGGCTGCGGTCAGGGTACCTGCGGGTCCTGCACTGTGCTGATCGACGGTGAACCGCATTTGAGCTGTCTGACCCTGGCTGAAACCGTTGAAGGACGGTCCGTTGAAACGACGAACGGACTGGCCGCCGGGCCAAAGCTTCATGCGCTTCAGGAAGCATTCATGGAAAACTTTGCTGCCCAGTGCGGATATTGCACACCCGGGATGCTGATGGCTGCCAAAGCCCTGCTTGACCGCACTCCCAGACCAAGCCGGGAGGAAGTTATCGAAGCGATTTCCGGCAACATCTGCAGATGCACGGGCTACGACCCCATAATCGACGCGATCATGGCTGCGAGCGGTCAAGCGACACGGAGGACCGGCTGATGTCTTCCGTGGAATTCCGCAAAGATCTCTTCAGGGAAGAGCGTGACGACAATCTCCAGGAAATCGGCAAGCCGACGCGCCGGCAGGATATTCTTGGCCACGTAACGGGCCGTTCGCCCTACTATGACGATCATCTCTTTGACGGTTTGCTGCACATGCGCTGTGTACGCTCGCCACACCACCATGCCCGGATCAGATCGATCGATACCGGTGCTGCCGAACGCATGCCAGGCGTCATCCGGGTGATCCTTGCGCGGGATGTTCCCAACAATCTCAACACGTTGCTGTCGTTGATCAATTTCGGCAAGGATGAAGAGAAGCTTATTCAGGATACCAAGGTCGCCTATGTCGGCGAACCTGTTGCGGCCATCATCGCCGAAACCGACCGGCAGGCGCGTGACGCATGCGCTGCGGTGAAAGTGGACTATGAGCTTCTCCCGCATGTCCTGGACCCGGAAGAGGCCCTTTCGCCTCAGGCACCGGTCGTCAATGAAGTCTATCCGAACAACACGTTCGACTATCATGATCTCTACGATCATCAAAAGCTTCGGTTTGGCGACGTCGACAAGGGCTTTGCCGAAGCAGATCATATTGTCGAGGGCGAATACCAGATGTCGCCGATCGAACAGGCACCGATTGAAACCTGTGGTGCAATCGCAGCACCCGAAACCAATGACCGCTACGTCTGTTATACCTCGACACAAGCACTTTTCTTCTCTCTGGGCACCACGGCCAAGTTGCTGGATATGCCGTCTTCACGGCTTCATTTCATAGGTGGAACAGTCGGCGGTGGCTTCGGCGGCAAGGTCGATAGCATTGTGGAGCCGCTCTCGGTTCTCGGCGCGGTCCTTGCCGGGCGCCCGGTGAAATTCATGTGGGATCGTACAGAGGAAATGCAGGTCGGGGCACCACGCGGTGCCGAACGCTGGCGTATCAAGGACGGCGTTGCGCGCGATGGACGCATTCTGGCACGGGCCTTTACCGGTTTTTTTGACGCTGGTGCCTATACCCGGTTGTCTTCCTACGCGATCATCAAGTGTTCGGCCCATCTACCAGGCCCCTACACAATCCCCAACGTCGCCGCGAATGTCTTTTGCGTTTTCACAAATCGCACGCCGGCAACCGCAATGCGTGGTTTCGGCATCACGGGCGTCGATTTTGCCATTGAGTGTCACATGGACAAGGTCGCAGAAGCCGTTGGACTGAACCCGATCGAACTGCGGATCCTGAATGCCTATCGGGACGGGGATATGAAGCCGCACCGACGCTTGGCAAAAAATACCGCGCTGATTGAATGTTGCCAGGTCGCCGCGCAAAAATCCGGTTGGAGCATTGGCGCCGAGGCAGCGCGTCAATCCTCTCTTCTGGGAGGCGGTGGCCCAAGGGCTGAAATTCCCGAAACGGTCACGGACATGGCCGGGCAGATAGGGGAGCGGAGGCGCTCGGTAATCCCGACTGCGCCAGGTGAAGGCGCGTCTGCCAGGGGGAACGTGCCGGCCGGAACACAGGGTATTCCAATCGTTGCCGCGGCCCCCCAGGACGAAGACATGATCATGGATCCGTCCCGCACCGGCTACAGAGGGCCTTCGTCCACGCCCACCAGGATACCTGAAGCCGCGATTGCGACCGATACGCGTCCTCAAGCAGCCGCGCCTGCGTCGCCACCACCTCCGGCAGCCCGCCCAGGTCCTGTCGCGCCATCCGGCAGCTCGCAAGTCCTGCAACCCGCCCTGCAACCCGCGCTGTCGCCACCGGCACCGCAGGCGTCGCCCGAGCCGCCAGCCACGGCGCCGCAGCTGCCAGCTCCAGATGCTGCATCTCAGCCGTACAAACCCGAAAAACCTTTTTCCCGAGGTGTCAATCGGCCTGGCGTGTCCAGGTTCTTGTCCGGTTCAAGGAGGCGTTGATCATGACTGTCCACAAGGGGCGCGGCTTTGCCTGCATCAACTACCCGATAGGCATGAACCTTGGTGGTGATCCGAGTCAGGCGCTGGTTCATTCAACGCCGGATGGAAAGTTCATGGTGTCCTTGTCGTCCATTGATCTGGGGCAGGGCATGAAGTCGGTAACCCGCCAGATCGCGGCAGAAACGCTCGGGGTTCCAGTTGCCGACGTCTACGTCGATACCGCAGACAGCGATACTGGTCCGCATTGCATGGGATCGTTCGCCTCCCGCGGGACACACCGGGTTGGAAACGCGGTCATTCGCGCGGCGACAGAAGCACGAAAGGCGTTGCTCGAGGCTGCGGCGGAAGAGCTCGAAGTCAATGCAGCAGACCTGGAAACAGACGGTCAGGGGAACATTCACGTAAAGGGAGCGCCAACACGGACAATCACAGTCGCCGACACGGCAATCGCGGCGCAGTTCAAGCAGGGCAGGACACTGTCGGGCAGAGGGATTTTCCTGATCCCGCCGTCGGACGTCGATCCGGATACCGGCGAGATGACGCCGGTTTCCTGCTTCGCCCATGCGGCTCTGGTCGTGGATCTGGAAGTGGATGACGAGACTGGCGAGGTCACCGTCAATGAAATCAATTCTGCGTATGAAGTTGGTCGAGCGCTAAACCCGCGCCTTGTCGAACAGCAGCTGATTGGTGGTGCCTGGATGGGGGTTTCGCATGCACTCTATGAAACGACAGAGCCCTACTATCCCGACCGGAACCATGGGCCGGAAGACTTCAATGCCTATCTGATGCCCGGTCCCGGTGAGGTTGTTGATCACAACATCGCCGTGCTCGAACGGCCTGCCGAAGACGCGCCCTTTGGTGGCAAGGGTCCCGGCGAAATGTGCGCCAATCCTGTTCTTCCCGCAATAGCGAATGCGGTCTACAACGCTGTTGGCGTTCGCTGCGACACGCTGCCGATCACGCCGGAAAGAGTTCTGCGCGGATTGCACGCGAATGGTGGCGCCAGGCCACAGGGAGTGCGCTGATCCATGCCGGTGAAGCCGTCCATCGTTGGAATTGATCGCCCTGATCGCTTGAGGGATGCGCTGATCGCTGCCCAGTATATTGCAGGCGATGAACTTTCGACAGCAGCGTATCTGGCGTTGGCGCTCGGCAAACCGCTGTTGCTCGAAGGCGCACCCGGCGTCGGCAAGACGGAGGCCGCCAAGGCCATTGCCTCAGTGCTTGGCCGTCGCCTTGTACGGCTGCAGTGCTTTGAAGGCATTGACGCCGCATCAGCACTTTATGAATGGAACTACACACGTCAAATGCTTGCCATTCGACAAGCCGGCGATGACTACATCAACATCTACGACGACCAGTTTCTGCTGCAAAGGCCCATGCTGGAAGCGCTTCGCTCTCCCGATGACTGCGTCCTGCTGATTGACGAGATTGATCGGTCCGACCAGGAATTCGAAGCGTTTCTGCTGGAGTTTCTTTCGGATTTCGCCATCTCCATTCCCGAAACGGGAACAGTGCGAGCCGTGCGGCCGCCTGTCGTGGTTCTGACTTCGAACCGGACACGAGATCTGCACGAAGCGCTGCGACGGCGCTGTGTCTATCATTGGATCGACTATCCGGACATCCATCTGGAATCGCGGATCGTGATGGCGCGGGCCAGCACCGTGGCGCAAGCCACTGCCGCCGCTGTTGCCGGGGCCGTTGCGAAACTCAGAACCGAGCCGCTTGCCAAACCGCCGGGTGTCGCCGAAACGGTGGAATGGGCCGAGGCCGCAACGTTGCTCCACGATCAGGGGGCGACCTG